CGACAGGAAACGGACCCCAAGATAACATCAAAATCCATCATTACAATTAGTGGACAATGCCAACACATCTTCTATTATTTCCCTAACACATTAATTCAATATACATCCACCATATATTAAAATTACATTCACATAACAAGTACAAATATGTTCCACGATCTTCTTCCCTATTCATTAAATCATTCATTATTTTGTCACACAAAAATATAACAACACCTCCATAGAGGCAAAGATTCATCTTTAAAGTATTCACAATTCTTGGGTTCAAACTATTTCTTTACTTTTCCGTATTATCATCAAGTCTTCAAATTCAAATTTTTTTTTTTTTTAAAACACATTGGTTGTCCATTACTACCCATGGTTGTAAATTAAATCTCTAACATTTAATTTTCTTTGATATAACACCTTCATATAATTGACAACCAATGTGTCAATTATTCATAACTTTAATGTTGATTGAAGTATCCTAATTTTCCAGAATGAAACCCCATAACTATTGCTAAATATAAAGTTGGACTTTTAGTTTTGAGGTATAAAATCACTTTCTAATTACATAATAAAATTCTTAAATTTTCACTTTATCATCTTACCACAAATTCCATATCATCTTTCAACTTCCCCCCTGCGGTTACCAACACAACACCACCCAACACAACTCAACTCAACACAATTCAACATGATTCAAACACAATTCATCATAGTCCAATACAATTCGATTCAACATTATTCAACACAACTTAATTCAACAACGCTATTTACAATTCAACATAATTCAAAATAAATTCTTGAATCCCCTTTCAACATTCCATAACTAAGTTTATGTCATCTATATCATCAGTAAGTCATTTCCCCAATCTCTCTTTCACATTATAGCATGATTTACAATGTTCCTAACAAAGTTCAATTGCTAATTTTTAACACAATTTTCAAACACCTCTAAAATCCAATTAAACTTGTACATATATAATTCAACCTACCAATATCATGAATCTACTTTCAATTTGGGCAAAATCATTAATTATCATAATGAATCAACTTAGGGTTTTCAAGGAAAATTAAGATTTTTCCAACAAAAACTCAAACTTTTTAAACCACTACTTTTAATTCCAATTTCCCTCTTGATCATACACTTAAGGTTCATAATCCACCATATTAACCCAACAATTGAACCCCCAACACTTCAAACCCTAAACCCCCAAAAATCATAATGTACACTATATGCTCAAAAATGTAGGTTTTACATGTATATAATCAAAATACCACAAATGTATCTATTTATGGAAGTATTGAAGAAGAACTAGGACCCCTACCTCAAGAATCAAGCAAAGGAGCAAGCTTTGGTGAGATTCCTTCGCAAATCTGAAATTCCAATCAGTAGAAAATGTTGATCTTCAAGCCTCTTCACTTTCTTGGTAGGAGATCTTGGCTAATCCTTAGGGAAATGGAAGGTATTTGAGGTCAAACACCTAGGGTTTTCGGACCTAGGGTGAGAGGGATGAAGAAGGAAGAGGAAAATGCAAAGAATGAGCTAAAAACCACGTTTTGAAGCTGCTGAATTCACGTAGTCCCGCACGTGCGCCGCTTTTCCCGCTCATGCGGACCTGCTTCTAGCACAGGCTCCAAAACTTCAAACGTGCATAACTCTCTCATCCGAACTCCGTTCTAGGTCATTCTTGTGTCCAAATCGAAGCCCCGAAAATAAAATTTCCAATGGTTCTAGCCTCACATCCAAATTCAAAGTGTGGAAAAAGAAAAGGGCAAAAGGGTGACGGTTGTTCAAAAACTCAAACTCAAATTTGGGGCTTTTGATCTAATCTTATCTAAAGACCTTGTTAAGGCTTCAATCAAGGTTCCAAACATCACCTAAGGGTCCTCAATTATAATATTTGAAGTTCACTTGCCAACCCATCAATATCAAGAGTCCGATAACCATACAAGGTTTAAGGTGACGGCACCACTATACGTTAATCCAATGTGAATTAAAATCTGAGTCATTACAATCTTCCCACCCTAAGAAATTTTGTCCCCGAAATTGCATCCGTTCTCTCAAAAATAGTAACAACCTTATGCTTACTAATTCTTAACAACCCCTAGTTCACAACAAAGCATGAGAGTACCCATACATATCCACCAAACCTTAACAACTTTCAATTACACCTCACTTCAATTCTAAACCCAAAAATACAAAGTGTTACACTATGTATTTAGAAATGAATTCAGGGAACATGACTTGAGGGGGAGCTTTTCTTATTCCCAAATCAAATCAAAACATCATTGTGTGTCATCATCAAAAGGGGGAGATTGTTAGACTTATTTTATTTTGATGATTTATTTAATTATGTTTTAATTTATTTGAAAGAGAATAATAGAATCCAAAATTTATTTTGATGATTTATTTAAATTATGTTTTAATTTATTTGAAAGAGAAAAATAGAATTAAAATTTATTTTGTCTTATTATTTCTCACATAAACTTTTATCCTAAATATTGTTTGAGTGTATTTAATATTTGATTAAACCAGAGGTTCAAACAGCCCAGTACAACAGCAGGCCAAAAGGTTCAAACAGCCCAGCACAGCAGTAAGCCAAAAGGTTCAAACAGCCCAGCACAGTAACAGGCCAAAAGGTTCAAATGGAAGATATTCAAATTAGTAATGATGGAGTACAACGGCTATAAAATGGCTATAAATTCAAATGAATACAACGACTATAAACGGCTATAAACGGCTATAAGTTTTATTATATATACCAAAACCTCTAATGTAAACAAGTTATAAAAAAATCAAAAAATATTCTTTGATCTATAATTACTCACATCTATTCTCTGAAAAATTCTCTGAGAAGTGTACTTCAATTTTTGTTTATATCCTCTTTCAGAAATTATACACTGAGACGTATAGCTTTAAGCCCATCTTTCTTGTGTGAGATTTATAGAAAAACTAGAGCTTCATTTTTATATCTATCTTTGAGAGATAATTCTTGAAGCTTTCTTTGAAAGCAAAAACACCTTCTTTTCAACCTTGTAAGAGTGTAGTATACTCAGTATTCTTGACTTAGAAAGTCTGTGTAAAATCCGTGAAGGATTGCTCCATTTGTAAAGAGGTTGCTAGCACCCTCGTGAAGCTAGAGCATAGTAAAAAATCTCAAGTGAAGCTTGAGGAGTGGACATAGGCCGAGTTGAAGTCGAACCACTATAAATTTGTTTGCCTTTCTCTTCTTTATCTCTTTATTTTATTTAAATTGCTGTAGCTATATTTCACATTTTCACTGTACTAAAATCATTAACTGATATAGTTGTTAGAACACTTGATTTAATTATTTTTATTTCATTAACTATATTTATCTATTGTGCTAGTCATAATTTTTGTTAGGGTATTATTAATTTTTAATTGTAAAAACCTAATCACCCCCCTCTTAGGTTGTCTTTTGGGTAACACTCTCCATCTGTTTCTCTCTAGAATTTTTGTTGTGTTCTCTCTCTAAATGTATATATATACTATAATTGATGCAAATGTGGTCGGATCTCATCTTGAATGGAAAGATGGAAATTGGGTCCTGTAAATGGGTATGAGTTTTATAATTGTTTTGATTACTTTTTGTTCTTGCCTACATGTTGCTGATCAATTGCTTCTTTGTTTAGTGTTTCTTGAATTTGGGTTTAATTACTTTTAGTTACGCACAAGTCTTGTTTGATTAATTGCTTCTATGATAGTGTTGCTTGACAAGTGTTTTTGGAGCTTCATTTCAGAAAATCAAAAGAGAGGCCCTGATGTAGTAAGTACCGAAACTATCAATATAGATGGATCGCGATAACATCTCAATATGTTTTAATAGATGTTTGTATTCACAGATTTGAAAATACTTGTATTGACAGATTTTATGAATGTTTTTATAGATGTTTGTACACTTTATATTTTTATGGATGCTTGATGTTTTAAAGAAAGTGAATCTGTATACGTGCGACAATAGATGACTGAACAAATCTAGTTTGTTCAGCAACATGACACCGAAATAATCCAAATTGTTTGACAATGTATAACCGAATGGGCCCATCATAAATTAAAAAAAAAAATGTTTTAAGGAAAGTGAATATGTAAATGTGCAACAACAGATGGTTGGACAAATATAATTTATTCAGTAACATAACACCGGAGTAATTCAAAATGAATAAGTGTAATAAGAAAAATCTATAGGGGTTTTGAAAAGGGTTTAATTTATGATTGTTTTTGGTATTATAAAGGTTGTAATGAGAATTTCAATTTTTCCTTAATGGTGTAACAAAAAAATAGGTGTAAAGAAGTAAAATTATGGCGTAAGCAAAATTTCCTTTGAGGTTAATGTAATTTTTTTATTAGAGAAATTACACTTTTTTATTTAAATTTTACTTTAATCCCATTATTTGAATTTGAACAATTGAGTCGATATACCGTAAATCTAGTCTTAATTTGGTCATTCCATCTAGATTTTCGTTAATAATTTTTATGTACACCTCAAGAGATTGATAAATGTCCAAAAAAACATTAATTTTAACTTCAACTTGAATGAAATGATAAAATTAAAATTAGATTTAAAGGGTAGAAATCAAGTTGTTCAGTTTAAAACATTAGGAAGTAAAATAAAATTTAACTAAAGTTCCTATAATCTTAATTGGCTCAATTTTAACTCTTAATTTTGAATTTTGTATCAATTTGGTCTAACTTATAACGCCTCTAAGATTTTTGATAGAAAATTATCATTGAATTAGTTGAGATTAAGTAAGTCACTGAATTAACTATGTTTGCAATTTTGCTCCTAAAAGCATGTTACATATCATTTGTGTGCATATTTATCATCAAAAAAATATTAATAATTATAATCAATTAAACTAATTTATGACAAAATTAAAAATTTATGATCAAAATTAATCTAATTAAAATCACAAATATCAAAATAACACAAGTATAATTTACCCTTTATTTTATTTGGATGGTGCGATTGTTTTGTTTCTCTCTCTTTCGGTGAGTGGTGACGACATTTTTATCAGATCCCTATTCATTAAAAAAGTCAAGTCTTTAGTCTCTCTCTAGCAGATCCTTCTTTCACTCTCCCGGGAATCAAACCTGCTCTTCTCATCATCACTTCTTCATAGCATAGAAAAAAAAATAATAATAACAACAAAAAGATTGAGTCTTGAATTAAAACACTTCTAAATTGAACTTTTCAATAAAAATCCCTTTATTTTATTTGGATGGTGCGATTGTTTTGTTTCTCTATCTTTCGGTGAGTGGTGACGACATTTTTATCAGATCCCTATTCATTAAAAAAGTCAAGTCTTTAGTCTCTCTCTAGCAGATCCTTCTTTCACTCTCCCGGGAATCAAACCTGCTCTTCTCATCATCACTTCTTCATAGCATAGAAAAAAAAATAATAATAACAACAAAAAGATTGAGAAAGTGAGGTAAGATTCTCAGATCTCACTCTTCTTTGCGTTTCTTCAAAACTTTTTATTATTTACTCCTTACTTTACATGCTGCTGATGATGATGATGATTATGACTTTCATTATTTGCACTACTTATTGAAACTCTTTTTTGTTCAGATTTCTTGTGATGATTGATATCCCCAAAATACCACCTTGTGTGATTTCGATGAACCATATTTCTTTCCAAGCCATTACTTTTTTCTGTGATTTTTTGTTAGTGTATTGGCTTTATGTATGCCAATTCAATGTGGGCAATTGTGATTCTTGATTGGGTATCAACAGGATTCAAGATTTTTTTTTTTTCTTTTTTTTAATCTGGTTCATGAATATCGTGTACGATTTGATGAAAGATTGTTGTTTGTAGAGAGAATTTTAAGAATTGATTTTGTTTATCTGTAATTTGTCCGGCTAGAGTAGCTTGGATTTTTTGGGTGGGAAGTAGTTTAGATTACACTGAATTGAAAAATTATAGAAAATTGGGGCAGAAAAGACATATGAATCATTGATAATTATGTGTTTCCTAATCCTGATTAGATTTTGAATTTTATGCTCCAAAAGTTAGCATTTTTCCATATTCATGTGAAGGATTGCTATTATTAGCCGTAGATCCCAAAATTTATTGCTTATTTTTTTTCTTCTATGCCTTTTATTGCAAAAGCCCTATGTTTTATAGGTGTGAATGTCCTTCTGTAGGCACCCTCTATCTGCCTTGTTTCTGATATTACATAGCACTAGGCATAACCAAGGAGTATCATAGGATGCACAAATTATGTGTGAATCAGACGTGCCCGACCTGGCCACTGATCCCCTTGAATAAGGCAAACTGAATTTCCGGGATTTTATTATTATTTCTTTTCACCAAACAGTTTGAGTGCTTACCCTAGTGATTATCACTTGCTGGGTTTTGTTGTTTCGATGGAAAAACGTTTTGTTTCTTGTTTAGAGGAACCAATGGAAGGGCAGGAAAAATTTCAGAAGAATGTCAATGGGAGTTGCTATTGGTGGTTGATTGTTCCTTGAGTTCCTTTGTTTGAATCTTTGGTACCTATTGTCAATGAAAGCTTTTGAAGGATGAGCTGTACGTAATGGTGTTACCACTTTAATGACCCTGAAATGAAACTTACAAGTTTGTGATTTCAGATAAGATGTCAGCCATGAAAACGCAATAAATTTAGTTGTATGAAGGTTAGCATTAAATTGTTATTACAATGAAACACTAGAATGGGAATGTAAAATTGACTAGTTTCTTTTGGTTAACTATAACTTGGTTTAGCTGTAGTGTTTCAAAGTTATATAATACTTTGAAGTGCATGGGTTTACTAAGAGCATCTCCAATCCACCCTCTATAACTTCATATTTGAAGGATTTGCTCCCCCAACCCATCCTCTAAAGCATCTCCAACCCACACTCTATATCTTTATATTTGAAGGATTTGTTCCTCCGACCCATCCTCTAAAAGCATCTCTATTTGGGAGGATGAGTGGTACATCCTCCATATTTGGAGGAAGGATGAGAAATGGAGGATGACCTCCATAACACTATTCACTTTTTAAATACCAATTTTGTCCTCAATACCTTTTCTGTTTAACTTTATCTACCAATCCATATTCTTTTGTATTTTTGGTTATATGTTATAAAGTATAAATAACTTTTAATGTGTATATCTAATTTTTATAAAGTTTGTATCATTAAAAAGATTGAAATTGTACATTTAAAATGAGTCTAATATTAAATACATTTAACAAAAATTTGAAAATTAAATACTTATTAATGAACAAAAAGTATTTACTTTTTTGAAGGAAATACTTTGGAGGTTAGAGAAGAAAATAAAGATTTGAGGTTAGAGTTTGGGTGAATAGTGAGATGAGTTATGATTTTAATTTTTTTAAATGATATCAACTTTATAAATATTAGATGTACATATTAAAAGTTATTTGTATTTAATAACATATAACCAAAAATACAAAAAGATATGATTGGTAGATACAGTTGAAAGGAAAGGTTTTGAGGAAAAGATTAATATTTAAAAATATGAGTAGTATTATGGAGATACTCCTCTATTTCTCATACTCTTTCTGTATTTGGACGATCAACCCATCCTCCTCTAAAATGGAGATGGTTTTAGAGGATTGGTTGGAGCTAAAAATCCTTCATATATGAAGATATGGAGGGTGGGTTGGAGATGTCTAAAAGTATCTCCATTTGGGAGGAGTAGTTTATCCTCCACATTTGAAGGAAGTATGAGAAATAGAGGATGACCTCTCCAACACAATACTCCCAACTAGACGACGAAAATAATTTTTTTATTCAAAAAGTGAATAGTATTATTGTTCAGCCAAACGCCAACCACAAATCTTCATTTTCTTTTCTAAATGTTTCCTTCACGGATACAAATACGGGATACGGCGATACGCCAAAATCTAAAAAAGTAGAATACGAGTACAGCGGGGATACGTTAGTAAAAAATAAAAGTAATTATTTTTTTATAATTTTAATAATGTAATATGCACGAAAATAAAACCTAACACTAATTTATAAATAAAGAGAGGGATTTCTATTAAATAAATAAATACGAACATTAAAGTTCCTAAAATTAAAATTTGGTAAAGAAATACTTACATTAAAACAGTGTAAGAAACCACACACAAAAAAAAAAAAAAACAAAAAAACAAAACAAAAAAAACAAAACAAAACGAAAACAAAAACAAAAACAAAAAACAAAAAGGGAGAATGAGAGCAGAAAGAAGAAACGTGAGAGAGTGACGGAGACAGAAATGAGAGCAGGACGAGAGACAGAGAGAACAAGAGACAGAGAAAAGAGTGAGAGGAGACAGAGAAAGAGAAAGAGAAAATGAGAGTGAGAGAGAGAACTTGTTGTATATAGCTTTTTATTTCGATTTGTCTTCGAGAGTGAGAGAGAGAACCAAATTTGTCTTCGAGAGTGAGAGAGAGAACCTGTTGTGGTCGATCAAGAAAAATGAACTAGATTTTTGCTTTGATTTGTCGATTTGAGCTTAGGGTTTTCTTCTCACTTTTTTATTGATTTTGGTTCATGCGTGTGATTTGAAGATCTGATTTGTATTTTTTCAATTTAATTTCTTTTATTTACGATTTGAAACAAAAAAGTTTTCAAAATTACGTTACTGTTTGGTTTAGTTTTTAAATTAAGACTGAGCCCAGTGTACATTAAAACAAAACAAAACGAAAACAAAAACAAAAAACAAAAAACAAAAAGGGAGAATGAGAGCAGAAAGAAGAAACGTGAGAGAGTGACGGAGACAGAAATGAGAGCAGGACGAGAGACAGAGAGAACAAGAGACAGAGAAAAGAGTGAGGAGACAGAGAAAGAGAAAGAGAAAACGAGAGAGAGAGAGAGAACTTGTTGTATATAGCTTTTTATTTCGATTTGTCTTCGAGAGTGAGAGAGAGAACCAAATTTGTCTTCAAGAGTGAGAGAGAGAACCTGTTGTGGTCAATCAAGAAAAATGAACTTGATTTTTTCTTTGAATTGTTGATTTGAGCTTAGGGTTTTCTTCTCACTTTTTTATTGATTTTGGTTCATGCGTGTGATTTGAGGATCTTATTTGTATTTTTTCAATTTAATTTCTTTTATTTACGATTTGAAACAAAAAAGTTTTCAAAATTACGTTACTGTTTGGTTTAGTTTTTAAATTTAACATTTGGATCAAAAAATCAAAAAACATGTTTGATTTACCAATTTTCAAGACTCTTTTCAAAATTGTTTTTTTCTCTCTCCTCTCATTCTCTTTTTATTAATAAATCACTTTTCTCTCTCTTCTTTCCTCTCTCTCTTATTCTCTCACATTCTACACATCAATCAATCAAATTTTCTCTCACAAATCATCCCAAAATTATTTTCAAAACTCATAACCAAACAAATTTTCAATTTTCAACTCTTTTCAACAACTTATCTTTCAAAACTCTAAACCCTAAACCCTAACATTTTCTGCCCCGCTGTATCCCAAAAGTATCCGGAACATATCTCCCATATATCTATGCCTATCTGAAATTCAACCAAAAAAAAAAAAGTGGGATACTTTTTGGCCGTATCCAATACATATCTAGGCGTATTGGATGCGTATCTGTAAAAAATGATGTATAAAGATAAATAGAGAATTGTATTATTGATTGATATATTGATGTTATTTTCTGTCTATTACAAATGGTTCCTTATATAGATGTAGGTGTAGTGGATGGTGTGTAGTGGATGGTGATAGTGATGTAGTGGGTTAGGTTTAGTGGAGTAGGTGAGGTGGTAGTGGTGTAGTGGGTTAGGTTTAGTGGAGTAGGTGAGGTGGTAGTGGTGGTAGGTGATGGTAAATTCTAACAGTATCTGTATCCGATACTCGTACGCGACCTATTTTGGAGTATCTGTGCTTCATAGGTTCCCTCCAAAGTATTTCCTTCAAAAAGTAAATAATTTTTGTTCATTAATAAGTATTTAATTTTCAAATTTGTGTTAAATGTATTTAACGTTAGACTCATTTTAAATGTATGATTTCAATCTTTTTAATGATACAAACTTTATAAAAATTTGGATGTTCATATTAAAAATTATTTGTACTTTATAACGTATACAAAAGAATATGATTGGTAGATAAAGTTGAAAGGAAAAGGTATTAAAGACAAAATTAGTATTTAAAAAAGTGAATAGTGTATTGATGCCATCCTCCATTTCTCATCCTTCCTCAAATATGGAGGATTAACCACTCGTTCTTCCAAATAGAGATGCTGTGCATCTCCAACCAACACTCTCAATTAGAGCATGAAAATATTTTTTTTTTTATTCAAAAAGTAAATATAGAGTATCTCAGTATTCACTCAAACTCTAATCACAAATCATCATTTTCTTCTCTAAAGATTTCCCTCCAAAACATTTTCATGTGATACCAATTGTATAAAAATTAATTTGCATATTAAAACTTATTTGTAATATAATAAAAAATATAAAATGGA